GCCCCGAGCAATTCCACAGATGTGTTTTCTCTTCTAAAATTCACACCAAGAGAATCCTCCCTCTTATGCTGTTCCAATTTCTCTTCTGCTGTCCCGTAACTACCTCTAGATGTTCCTTTCTATCCTTGGATAAGCCACTGTCCAGCAGCTGTGGCCCTACGAGCGTCAGTTGTTCGAATGCCAGACAGCCTGTTGTCTTCAGGGTTTTCCACTTGAACAGGCGCTTATGCAGATTTTGATCTGTCCTCTAGTATTGTTACAAGTGTGGTTCCCCATTTTGAAAAGACTGAAATGTTTTCCTAGTCTTGTCTTGTGAACAAAGTTGTTTCCCTGCCCAGTAATTAAGCAGTATTAGTAATACTGCTGTTATGTAGAACAATAAAATCAGCGTGACTGGAAATGGTGAAATAGGTGAGACCTTGGTGATTTCTCTCTTTAAGCTTATACTGTTCCTGTGAATAGTGTTTAGCAATTACTAGAGTGTAATAGAAATGCATCATCATAAAAGTATCCTTACATAAATACTTTCAGTTTTCATTGTTAAGTATAAAATGTTTGAAAGCTGAACTTTACTGAAGTGAACCAAACTTAAATTTTCCTCTTTGCTTTCAAACAGCCCTGAAAAACCAGAAAGTGTGAAAATAAATGTAGAAGATTCACCTGTTGTGAAGTACGTGGATGCTGAAACATCTTTATAGAACTGAACCAAGGGGAATTGCGTGTATTTGTGTGTGTGTGTGTATATATCACTGCAGGATATTATACCATTGAAGTGTGATTTCCAATTTAAGGAGCGACATGTATTTAATTCTGCCATGGTTTAGGGCACTGTAGATATGCTTGCATAATGAGAAGATTCTCTTACAAATAAGATGAGTGGTAATCACACTTCAGCTATTTATTTTATTGGAAATTTTATTTTCATTTTTAAATAGGAAGATTGTAATGAATGCTTATTATTTTCAATAATTAATATGTGCATAAAAGTTAAATCAGCTCTTGCTGACAATTACTGGTCCACTTTGCTTAAAATTTTGCAATACCTCTGTTTATAATGTGCGCTACAGAAGTTTGTTTTCCGTGCAGGCAATTACTTCTTGTTTTTGCAGGGTATACTTTTTTTGTGATTGCATAGAACAAATATTAATGTGCTGTTGACAAGAACTACTGTGTTTCATGTCTCTACTACATCCTAGTGTTTTCTGGATTCTGTCTCTCCTATTTTACAGAAGTGGCCTAAAACCCTAAGTCAGGTGGTTAGTTAATCCTTAAAGTATATATAAAACCCCTGTTCTGCTACCTTTCTTTTTTTTTTTTTAAATTCACTCTTGGTTTTTTCATTATTGTCCAGTGCAGTAATTGTAGTTACAGTCCCAAGTCAGTATTTGCCATTCAGGATGCTCCATGTTTACACAATATAAATTGGATTTACAGACAGCAGTTTGGTCTATAGGAAGTTACACACACCTGCCACATTAGTACTTTTGAATTCTTTCGTTCCTGTTTTTACTTACATTTTTCCATCAACTTACAGAGCCTGATTTACTCAGCTCTAAGACTGAAACATTAGAGTATTTCATGTCCTCACCAAATAAATTTCTTGCTTAATTAATTTTTAAATTTACTGTGTATTTGATTAAGTTAGCTGTAGTTTAATTCTGTAATAGGTTATGATCAGTATTATTTTATGGATTACAAATTGCTTGTGGTATTTGTGTGTACAGTTCTGATCCTCTCCATTGTAAAGGGCATATATGATAGCACACCAGCTTATTTTAAAACATTTTATTTATTTTAATTAGTATAAATTTTTATCATGTAAGATGAATTAAAAAGTAAATATTCATTTATTAAAGTAAGTGGGATTCTTTGGGGGCTCACTGATAAAAGATGCAGTCAGTGCGTTTATTGTACTTACATTTTCAAGTTCTAGTGTTGAGCATTATAATATTTGAAATAATGAGTATTTTATGTATAAATGAAAATCTTGATCACTTACCTGCACAGTTTCCATTATTAATATCTTTTTGCCTTACGCCTTAGTTTTTTGGCTTTAATTTCCGAAACGATCTCCTTACATTCTGAGTTGCCAGCAGCCCTTTCTTGGATGTATTACAATGGCTTTAATTAGAATCTGTGCTCATTTAGAATTAGGAGATGCTGTTTGCTTAATTCTGCCTTTGGCAAAGTTGGAAGTTTTGCCACAGACCATGTGGTAAAATTCTCAATGACTGCAAAAGGAGCTGGTTCTGGAGGAGGGCAGAGTTCATCTGAAAATACCACTTCAGGTGGAATTTTGGTGCTCTTCAGCCAAGTCTCACCTGGAGAGGCGATAAGTGTATATTACAACTATAAAGCAATCAGTGGGAATAAATAGAAGCATTTAAAAATAGCATTTAAGTTACATGGACTGTTATCGTTCCCTTTAAATGTAATGTAATTAAATAATGTGGGTTTTTTTTTCCTTTTTTCGTTTGTCTGAATTCCGAGAAGACAGTTTTAACGAAAGTAAATCATAGTATACAGCAATATGAATAATGCTATCCAAACTGTCATAACAAAGGCTCAGGTCAGTGGCAAAGCGAATGAGGTCTGCGTTACCAAGTTGACTAATACTGTGTAATGTCCTGTATACATGTTCCTTTATTCTCGGGATAATGGTGTAGCTTGTGCCTTACCTTGAGTACGTGGTCTTTCAGAAAATACCCATGTTTTCCCTCTAGTCCAGCTGAGATACAGTGAAACTGTAGCAGATGGTTTCCCAAAGCTTTCTGCATTATTTAAAAAAAGTAGTACACATCAGTTGCTGACTGCTAAGTAGCTCTTGCCGAATCCAAGAGGGAAGATATTTTGTGCAGTTTACATAGCGTTATCCACAATACATTACTTTTGTCCCAGTCCTCCCAGTAGTATTTTACTCTTCATGTTCACAGTCCTACAACAGTTTCCAAAGACACAAAAAACTATTATAAGCCTCGTAGATCTTTAACTCTTTAATGCCGGAAATCAGGGTTCCCTGGTGCTGCACATCTTGTATCTGGCTTCTACTTCAGAAGGGTTAAGTTTTGGACAATGTTACAGGAAGTGGGTATTTTTCTAGTGAAGTTGAAAGGAAACAAAACCAAAGCCCCACAAGTCTAATCACAGTATTTATTTAATTTTGTGTAGATATTTTAATCAGTGCCAGAAATATCATGACTTGCAAAGCAGTTTACAGTGACCTTTAGTTCCAGTGTTCTTGGTCAGTAGCACGTTACGCTTGCACTTTTTTTCCCCATGTGAATAGAAGATCTGGTATTAAGTGCATAAAACCCCATTGTTAATCTATGGTTATGTGATTTGCTGCTCATTTTACACCTTCTCTGCTTTGAAATCACACATAGTATTAAAGTAAAATGGCTAAGGATGTAGTTTACTGTATGTAGAGATACTTTTTGCCTTAATGGATGCAAAAGAGCAGTGATAATTGCTGTGCACTGATTTTATTTTATTTTTTTTTTCCATGGGGGTAAAGCCCTGTAAAAACGACGCCAATGTATTTCCATTCCAACAGTTAGAGGAAAATAAACAGCCCTGCACTTTTTTTAGATGCCTTGGTTTCCCGGAATGGAGCTTAGTGCTACTGTGTATCTGGCTGCAGAGCCACCTCAGGAAGTCCCTCTTTTCTTTTTTTTCTTTTTTTTTTTTTTTCCCCTTCCTTTTTCTAATTTATTTATAAATATGAATGTTTACATAAAGTGTCGGTCTTAATTTTGACCACTCCATTTAAATTATCATCTAAAATATTTCACTTAAAATGCAGTCTCGTGTTTAAATTATATTCTACAAAACTCATTCTTAGTATTTTATAGGTATTACAACGACACACACTTTTCATTCTGTTTACACGTGCCCAAACTAATTGTACTTTCTTCCTAGATCAATTTTGCAGCTGTAACATCAGGTTATTCAGTGAAATGTTCCAAATTGCCAAGCTTGTCATCGTAAAACCCGTTAGGGTAGACTTTGGTGCCCTGGCGGGGGGTTTTCAAGCAAATGTCTTGGCCATTTCTTTTCTACGTTTAATGGAAGTTCTCCCGTGCATTATCACTTGCTTCACCTGCATCTCTGTCTCTGTACGGTAGCTTCCTAATTTGTGCCCTTTGCAAAGGCAGGTTCGACAGGCTGTAAAATATATCTGTAACAAATCAGTGTTGCGTCGCGGGGCCTGCGCCATTTTAAAGGGTTGTCTTGTACATAACGTTCTGTAAATCCTAAGGTAAAATGGTTCACGATTTTCAGTTCACAGTTGTAGTCTGGTAGGTGAGCACCACAAAGATTTTAGTTTTCTTTTTGCTTTATATGATTAGTAATGTTTTAATTACTCATCTAGGTCAAATTCATTATCAAGTACAGTACAAATGTGTGAAATACTTTGTTTATATCAACAGTAATTTATTTTACGGTGAATTTTAAGACTAGAGGCACGCAGCTTTGAGTCAGCGTAAAAGTAGTGCTATAAATAAAGCAAATGGCTTAGCAATTTTAAGTCGATTTTTATTTTGTAACGTTTTTAGTGAAAACTTATAGGACTTTGTAGCTGTCATTGAAGTTAATCTAAAGACACTTTCATATTGAATTTAGTATCTGTTGACATTTATTTGGAATAATGAACGAGTTTGAAAATCGATAACTTTTCTAAGTGATTTTATTGGCAAGACACGTCATTTATAACTTTTTCTTTCTCTTGTTGCTGATTCTCCTGTGCAAAGGTGTCTTCCAGGGCTCAGCACCTGTAGCTGAACTGCAGTTCTGATTCTAATACCGACTGTTCAAAATGTGATTATATACTGTATGGTTCGAATTTTTTATGACTGCTTTTCTAATTCCAATGATGTGTTTTCTTACTTTATAACAAATTCCAAAGCAAACGGAAAACATTGTTCCAAATGTAGAATCGATACTCGGTTTATGCAGAAAACACAACTCCCACGAGTTGTCTTGACTGTGAAAGACCCAGCCTTTGTTGTTTTAATTACCGCTAGGATAAAACTATCTTTTGTAATGTTTCTCAAAGTTGGTAAAAGCAATAAAAATCTGCTGAACGGTGGTACTGCGGCTCTGTGTCACGTATCCGCGGGGGGCGGGGGCGGCGGGGGCCCTGATCCCGCCCTGTCGCTTGCGG